TGGTCTATGTATTAACATGCTTGGTGTTATATGTGAAATGTTAAGAAAGCAAGCATTAATTATCTTAAAATAGTATTTTATGCAACTTTGTTGTGTAATTTATTCAATTTTTCATAATTTTTCTTCTACAAATTTAGAGTGTATTATTTAAAAGGTGTTCATGTCTGAAAAAAACAGGACTTCTTCTGTGTATATACATTTACAGGACTGAATTTTCAAACCATCAGAAATATTACCATACTGAAGTCATGAAAACCACTTTATTTATTATCTATCCCAGGAACTTCCTGATTTTATTAATTTTTGTTTTATGTTTATGTTAACTATAACAAAAGGGGCTTCAGCAGACAGCATTAAATTTCATATTTAAAAACAGTTACAAAAATTTATCTTAAAAATATATGGATAAGGTATTATACAGAGCATAATCATACTCAACCTTCACATAGATATGTGATTTTTAATATCATACTTGAATAAACTCATGCCTTAATACCTAAATTTATTCTTTGATTTAATTTAATCACGTTTTTTAGACTGACTTAAATTTTTGGACAGCATCTGAAACATTTAAACGAAAATATTTGTTATTAGTGACAGTAAGAATTTAATTAATCTATAAAATAACAATGTAGTTATATACTGGCCACTATTTGACGCTGAACAATCTAAAATGCATGGTTACTGAATTCTGGTCTTCCCAACGCTAGATTGTTTTTTAATAGTGCAATATTTTAGAGATAGCTTTTAAAATTAACAAAATGCAACAGTCCAGAAAAGTTAATAAAAAAAAGCTTAATCCTGATGAGCTTGGCTGATACTCACAGAAATCAGGAAAAATAAGTCTATCTATAAGTATTCTTTCACAATAAATCTATAATGGAATATAAATGAAACACACCATTATGAGAGAATAATTCTTTCACAGCAGAGAACTATAATACATTCTAATGTAATGTTCACATATTTATTAATTTAATCAATAAATGTGTACTTTATAGATTTAATTTGCTGTAACTATAATATGGTAGCTACTTTATTAGCTATTAAAGGGAATTTATTTTGCTTTGGGTGCTTTTAAAGGCATCCACATCTCATCTGAGTAAATTAGAGTTTAGGCATTAAAACAAATACTTCTGGAAAAAAATAGTAAAAATAGGTTGCACTGAGGGTATTTTTTAACTCTAAACTTAAAAAATAAAACATTGACAAATAATGAATAGTGATTATTGAAAATAACAATGAAATAGGAGAATGAGAATCTGTAAGATTTCTCAGTTTAGTAGATTACGTGTCATTTTTCACCATCTCAATTTATACAATCATGGTTGCATATAAACATTTCAAAATTTGAGCACAAATATATGTTTCATGATAAAACATCAGTTAATCCAGTCAACTCATTGTAAATATATATGCTATATTTTTCAATTTTGGGAAAGATATTGATTAGTAAATCATAATTGAGTTACTGCAATTATTAGAGCATAAATTAATTACTCATGATGAGTTATTTTGGGTATGAAATTGGGAAAGGCTCCGGAACTGTATGAACAAATACTTTATTTTAAACATTAAGTGTAGAGGAGTGGATTAAAATCTTATAAAGTAAGCTTATAAAGTAATTATCTAGGAAGACTTTGTAATTGGGTAGGTCTGCAGGTGAGTAACTGGATACAAATATTCTTGATAGCTTATATTTATGCTTTGAAAAGATAGGGGTAGAAACCTAAAAAAGTTCCTTGTGAGGACATTTGATAACCAGTATGAAATGGTTATGGTGGCTATTTGATACTGTTAAAAAATTAAAAATTAAGAATTTGGCCAGAACTTCCAAGTATGTCTTCAGTAGAAAGGTCATTAGTGTTCATTATTAAATTTCATACTCAGACACTCATTTTCAAAAAATGGAATATTTCCTAAAACAGAATAAATATTATTAAACTATCCTCCTCCTTTTAGCAACTAAGATTATCCATTAGCAGTCAATAATATTCACACAGATTATTTTTTATTTTCCTTTCCTTTAAAAATTATGATTTATTAACACTAAAATAATAAAATTATACAGAACACATAGTAGTTCATGAAGAAAGTGGACAGAGTTATACTTTCAAGTGTCTAAATAAGTTTATCCAAGTACTTGCTAAATTAAAACACCAAAAATGCCAGATGTCACCCTAATTAATTCTGGTAAACTTTTTATGAGTTTGTAAAAAGTGTTAGAAATTAGAAGTTTGTCTAAAGTTTCTCCTTTTTTAAGTTATTACATGAAAATATTTTAATCTTGTTCCCAATTAAGAGTAGAGATCATCAGGTTGACAATATAAATCTGCTAAGAAATCAGATGTTCTTTTTATTAAATAACAATGACAAATCAGTCAAAAGCAACTATTTTGTAAAGGTGACTCTATCCAAAACTGAATAAAAGCAAAGGTTAAATATAGTATAAACAACAATGAATATGCTTCAGGAAGTATATTATTTCAAGCTTTTTAAATTACACATAATAAAACTGTTATATTTAATCAATATCAAATATTTATTAAATTCATTTGACACCATAACGCCACTGACCAAGATTTGATATTAATATTTTTTAAAAATTGAGTCAATATTATTTATTGTGTGGAGATACAACTTTATCAAAAACAACTAATTAAAAATTCAAACTTACATGATATCCTTTGAAAAATATATTTTGTTTTCATAATATATTTGTCCTTTTTAAAGCATCCACATCTCTTACATCATTTTTTATCTACAACTCTCTGAGGTAGGCATTGTTTTCTCCATGTGAGAGATGAGAAAAATAAATGAAGAGTGGTCAAGAACGTCTTACCAGGATTACATTAATCCCAAGTAGAACTAGAAATGAAATTCAGGAAGGAAGTCTAGATGTATAAGCACTCTACTTTTCCCAATAACCCATTATTAGGATGTGAAAGAGAAAAACATTAAAAGCCTTAGAAGAGAACATCACTAATCATAAGCACACAATCATAATATCCAAAAATATTTGGGATATTTTTCAAGAAAAAATAATTTTTTTCTAAAAACAATACGTGTGCAAAACAAATATAACACAAGTTGGTGTCATTCCCATTTGTGCCTGGACTCTTTTAATATTAATACCCAATTTACTAAATGTTTCAGACTCTTATTCTAGTAAATAACTGCCTCTTTTAAAGATAATATGAAAAAACTAAAAATAAATAGAGGAAACATAAGAAACTGAATCACAGGTTAATAATGACATAAAAGTTTGGAAATCCCAACAGTTGTATTCTTTGTACTTGTAGAGAGAAACACACAAATACACTACACTGAAAATTCCACTTTTATTTAAAGAATACACAAATCTAGGAGTCAAGCTAATGGTAGAAATTACACACACACACACACACACACACACACACACTTTGAGTTCCAATGGTTTCTTCCTACTTAGGTTGTATTTACTTAACTATAATGTACAGTAACTTTGCATGAAGAAAATCAAGATGTAATTTATGAAAATGTATGTTTCTATGATGATGAATTTCTTAAGCTAAAATGTCCTATGAGAGGATGGAATCACCTATTATCTGATTAAAAGAAAATGAAATTGATTGTTATATGGTATCATTCTATTTCATTTGGAAAACATTATTAAAATAACATAGATTTAAAATAAATACCTTCTCCAACCACCAAAAATGTGTGTATGTATACAAATATATATGTATACACACACACACAAACATATACACAATGAGTATATCTACTACAATAAAATTACTAAGAATTAAACACAAAAGTATTGGGGAATTAGAATTCATTGACAAATTACTTTCTCTAGTGGAGTAAAAACTACCTTCTGCATCCGACTGAGAAAATCACTACAACTTTGCAATTTTACAACCCAAAGTTACAATTATCTTTCTTATTCTTCAAGATTTTATCAGTAAGCCATACTAGCAGAAAAATTATTGATCAGGGATCTACATCAACAAATGTAAGTACTAAAACTATTTACCAGAGATAATTTAAATAATACAATTTCTTAGAGAAGAAAAAGTGTTATTAACAAGTAGAGGAGTTTTATGATGGTGTTTTAGTAATTTTTTTGTTTTGTTTTGTTTTGTTTTGTTTTGTTTTGCTTCACTGTGTGGAAAGTCCAGGCTCCTTCAACATGTTAACAAAAAATAACAAAGTAATATCAATAATAATAACAAAACTTATTTGAATATTCAGAATGTGTTTGCCATTTTAATTGAGAAAAATCTGATAGTGGAAGAAATCTATTGGCTGCTCAATCTACAAAACTGAGAATGTGAAAGGAATTTATTTGGGAAAGAAAATCCAAAATTTTCTTTTTTTTTTTTTTTTTTTTTTTTTTTTCAGTTTTCCAACTGTTTTTCTAAACCCAAAGATTTTATACTGGGGTCCTACACAACACTGCCCTTGGGCAAGCTTCTTTTTTCATTCCATTTTACAACCCAACCCACCCCCACCTCATATATTTTTTCTTAAGGTGGAGAAAATAGTGGAAATACCCACAAAACAGTTCTCTCAAGTAGTCAAAATTACTTTGTTAGTTCAAGAAACCCTTAATAGTTCTTCACTTGTCCTTTATATATTAAGGTCTGGGACCTTAACAAGAAGCAATGTTTTTAATGCATTTCTGCAACTGCCATCTTCCATATTTTATTAAGGTTATACATTTCTTCTTCTAACTCTCTACCCTTCCCATTTCTTCCTCTAACCTTGGTCCAATTTATGATTTTTGTAACATGGCTACACATTTAAATAAATGCACACTAAACAGTTAAATTAATACATGTTAAACATCTAAACTGCTTTACCCTGGTTCATGAATGTGAATATTAAGAAGTTATGCATCATAGCAGGACCAATTGAAAATGCAGATATTCCATTGCTTGCAACACAGAAAAAAAAATCACATGATAGTAAAACACAAGTTATATGATTGTCAAGAAAATACATTCATTCCTTACCTGCTTAACTGCATGATGACAAACAAATCTATGTAACACGCAAAAGAAAGTCCCCAAAATCTGAATCATCTGTCTTTCAAGCTTCTGTGGCAGTTTTATACCCTGGTGCTCTCTTCTTTGCTTACATACATTTGACTAGCTAGAGTATTTTTCAGTGATACTAAGGTTAATTTGCAACCCTAGTCACCTTTTCCTCCTTTCAAACAGTCGGTGGGCATTTTACACAGCTCCAAACATGCATCTTATCTTCGGAGGTAGTGCCTACACGGCGTTTCCCAGTAGAATTCCTATTACAAGGAGGTTCCTTCTCTAAAGGGCTGATCACGTTCCCGACCTGGTGCAAAGTAAAAGGCTCTCCGGTTCAACTCTTGGGGACTAGGAGAACAGCCATCAGAGACTTCAACTCTCTGTCACTGTTGGCTGTGGAACCAGCAGTAACCAGCGGCCAAAAAGCACCACCCCCTCTCCGGTGGACGCTGGAAGAGAGCGCTCCCAGTCCCAGATCTTTCTACTTCCCACCCCCACCTCCAGAAAGAGGAAAATAAAAATAAAAGACCAACTTTAAAGTGGGTATAAGCTAGACAGATTCCAAATCCTCACTCTTTGCTTTTAACTTCAGCCTTATATTCCAAGCTCTAGCTTCAAGTTGAAATTTAACTCTCTTCCGCTCACCGCCCTCCAGATTCTTGGGAGTTGGTGAAGGAAAGGAAGGAGTGACCGTCAGCAATGATACTTTAACACAGAGCCTAAGAAGTCATTCAACAGTTCTGAGCTCTACTTCGCAGTCAGACAAGGACAGTGATTAGGGTTTCATAAAGCAGGCATTCTGAGGAACCGTCGTTTACTAACAATAAATATAGCCCATTAAAATAAATAAATATTAACACAAAAAGGTATTAAGAGACTCTGGAGATCTTAAGTCTATTCTCTCATACAGAAGAGGTTTGCTCAAGTTTGTCTTGACGAAGGTTGGAAATGGAGCATTCTGCAAGGATGGAAACCCCCTGGCGCACCCCACTCTGTCGGGCTGCAAATGCCCACACCAAGCACACGTTAGCCGCAGGGGCTGAGTGCAGAGCCTGCGCTAGCGGGTCAGAGTGGGGGACACCTTTCCTACACGCACGGATTATTCCCACATCAACACCAAGCCTGGGGCCAGCTGGTCAACCAGGTACCTGCTCTCCTCCGTTCCCTGAGCTCAGGTGGCAAAGGCGTTGCCGTGAGCTGCGGAGAAATCTCCACGCAGAGTCGCCTGTTGATAACCCTCCAGTTAAAACGTTCTTGGCTGCCGGAGCCCCTCAGATGTAAATTTCCCTTTCACACGCTTGAGCTTCAGGTATAATACAGCAAAACGCACTTACCTAAACACCGACTGTCTGTTCCTTACTGGATCTGACTGCACTGAAACTTGTTTTTTTTTTCTTTTTTTCTTTCTTTTTTTTTTTCCCCCTCCCTCCACCCTTGCGCAACAACAGCAGTCCTCCAAAGAGGATGTTTGAATTGAATTATATGAAGCTCTCCTTTCTTCAAATGAAGTCACGGACTCTGATGGCACTGGCTTGTCAGGCAGGACGACCGGACTGGGAAAGAAATCAGGTAGAAACTAGTGACCTAGTGACGGGTGAGGGGCGCCAAGTGGTGCGGACAACAGTCTCAGCCCTGTTCCCTCTCGGTGGGAGTCAAGGGGGGAAAGCCCTTGAATCCCGAGACTGGGGGATGGGGTGACGCTGCAGCTGGAGTACTTTTATGTCTGGGAGCTAAAAGGGCTTTTGAATTTAAAAAAGCATTGCTTGGGTTGTCGCGTCAGTCATCAATGACGACAAGAATAGTTCTTTCCCAGAAATTTAAAAAAAAAAAAAAAAAAAAAAAGAAAGAAAGAAAGAAAAGAAAAGCGTGAACAATAGGTTCTTACCTCCATCTATCCCAATAAAAGGAAATGTTGTAGAAACCAGGAACTTGTCCTTAATTTGGGGGAGGGGGGCGGATGTTTAGAGAAAACCCTCAGTGGGTGTTAGAAATTACTGATACATGCAGGTTTGGCATTTAAATGAATATGGTGTTCTCCTTATTATGTGTCAATATGTGAAGTAAAAGTAAAGATTAAAATGTTTCTCAACATAACTATATGGAAGGGGAGCTGATAATCTTGTCAGTTAAGTCCATAGAAATGTTCATAAAAGCAAAAGGCACTGACCATATTAACATGCCTATTAAACACAGGGGGTGGGGGTAGACAAGTATGAAGAGTGAGGCAATTAAATTTTTCATGTAAAGTCTATTCTTGAATTTCAATTTATCAGAACCAAGATAATCAGGGGTTTCTTCTGATAGCTTCTCTCTAAAATGAGTACTCTGTGTCCAATTAACTGTTCACCAGCTAATTCACAAAATCAGAAATGTACTGACAAATACTATGCCTGAATTAAAATACAATGCCCAAAATAACGCATTCATGTGTGATCTGAAATATTTTAAGAAAAAAAAAATGGTGCCCTCAAAACTCACAGTCCTCTTCCTACCATTCAGTGGCATTTTAGTGTTTAAAGTCCTGCTAAATTCATAAAAATACACTTTGTAACAAAGTCCTCCCTCAGTCATGTAATTGCTTATCATGAACAAATACTGACCTGAACAACCTTCTGAAGATCAGACTAGTGAACTTTCCAGACCTTGCAATTGTCAGAAGGTCTCTTTTAAGCTCTCTCTTAGATAAACATATAAAATGTGACCTTTCAAATGGCACAGGAATGTGTGCCAAGAAGGGTTAATGGGGGTGGGGGAGATTAATGTCAACGTAAACTGTAATATAAATGAGGACAGAAATTTAAAAAATAAAGAAGGTAAAAGATATTGGGGTAATACATGGGATATTAGGGTAATACATGACATGGGATATGTCTTAGTAGTGCAATTGCCACTAACATACTAATTAATAAATATAGTCATATGGATTTTTCATTTCCGAAAGTAACAAAAATGTGAAAAATGAAATACTTCAACAACACAGAGCTTATTAAAAATAACACTAGTTAAGTTTCTAGTAATAGATAAAGAGAATAACTTACCAGAGGAAATTTCAGGAAGCAAGAAGACTGTGAGAAAAATACATCCAGGATTCAAATAGATATTCCATGATCTTCCAAATCAAGGTAAAGTAGTGAGCTGCAGGGTAGTGGGACTTTAAAATAATCAGCAGTTCCTGGTGGCATGTAACCAAGTAAAAGCCAGTTACACAGAGAGCCACGAACCCCCAAGGCAAGAAAGCAGAATGTGAAAATGCTTTATATGGGTGTGTGTGGGGGGGGGGCAGAATGGGGGGGGGTGATTCGTAGTGATCCTTAAGCAAAGTGAAAATTTACAGGCTGTACATCCCCATACAGTGGGGAAAGGAAGAAGCTGTGTTGCCCCAGAGAACAGGAGGTGGAATACAGATAAATCTGCAAAGAGAAGTAAAAGGATGTGTTGAAGACAACGAGATAAAGAGAGAACTAGTGAGCAAGGCTGTAGTCATCCTGATAGATATAGCAGCAAGAATGATTTAGGCTGCTGGGGAGGATCCAATGAGAATTCAAGAGGGCACCACTTCGGAAATCCTGCTCTGATCTTCCCACTCTCAGTTCTTTGAGAGTTACCTGCGTTGGGACCATTATTATTAGGATTAATAGTATTCCATCAGTGCATTTCACTAGTATTTCCCTTGAACATTTTCACTCGCAGCAACTGAGGGAGGCGTTGTAAGGAAGCCCAACACAACCAATTCCCCCACTTCCCAAATAAGCCACTACGGTCACATTACGATGACCAGATCATCAGCGATTTGCATGAGGCGGCGGGGGTGGGGGGGTGCGGGTGGTGATCGAAGGGCTGAAGATGCGGAGGAGGCCGAGTCGCTAGGCGCTTTCGGGGGCGCTGTGCCGGGGAGGCTTAGTCAAGGGGACCGGGAACCCTGGTTAGATGCAGCAGCGGCGGCAGCAGCCCTCCCAGGTCCCACTTCCTTGGCGTTCCTGCTGCCCGTGACTCAAGGCAATTGACTTCCATCTGAACCCTCAGCTCCGAAGGCCTTGCATTAGAAGCTAGAGCTTTGGAGGTTCTGAGGACGGTCCCTGGGGAGCAAGTGGTAGGTTTCGAGGCGCCTGCTTCCCCTCTGATTCCTGCAGTTACTGAGGGAGAGTGCGCTAGAAATGGCTTTGCTGCCGAATGCATTATCTTGCCATTTTCGTGTCCCAATACTGAACAAACGATCGCCTGATCGATCGGTAAGATTAGCTTTATTCCTTCTCCCTATTCCTCTCCATGGCCCCATTCCCTCTGCAAGCCAAACCCCAATCTCTCTCTCTCTCTCTCTCTCTCTCTCTCTCTCTCTCTCTCTCTCTCTCTCTCTGTCTCTAGGAACTTCTTTTTTCCTCTTTGAAACCGGCTTCCCAAGGGAACTGCCTGTGTGACTGAGAGGCTAGTAATCTGTTTGTAGATGATTTATATTTTGGCTGCAGAATGAATCCCCCTCCCTACTCGGAGTACTCTCCTTAGAGAAGATCCCCCGCCCCCTCCCCATGGGTTCGCTCTCAGAGCTCGGATCTGTATAAAGAGCGCTGTGGGAGTCTTTTGCCCTCCGCTCTAGCTCTATCTTTCTCCGGACCCCGAAGCTTAAGAATTATCCGCCTCACTCTCTTTTTTAGAAATAGGAGGGAAAGGTAGAGTGGAAATTGATTTCTTGCAGAGACTGAGGCGCTGAATGATAGAGGGAATAAACATTTGCCCTGGATAAAAATGTTCTTGGTAAGTAATCTTATTTTCTGCGGTTGAAAAGGAAACAGATTGCTTCTCACTGCCCCATCCCCCACTCCATTCATTTATTTGCTCTTTGTATGTAAATCACGAGCTGGGTCAGTGGAAATTTTCTTTTCCTCTTTCCTAGGAGAGTAGTAGCTTGTAAGGGTGAATTTGAAGTAGAGGGTTTTAAGGAGACAATATGAACGCTTTAAGGTCCTTTGTATCCGACCTTAAAAACCCAAAGACAGGTAAAGCACTTAAATCTCTGTTTGTTTACTAAAGTGGTATTTAAGTATTTCTCTTATTTCCTACTAACTCTCTTTCCCTTCTGAAAATAAAGAAAAGAGTTTTAGGCAGTGGGCTCATGTCTATGCTTTTAGTACGTCTTGGCCATGTTCTGAAATACAATTTCAGTTCCAAAATTGAGAATGGTTATTTTTCACATTTCGCAGGTAAATTAAAGCTATAGAAACCACTTATTAAATGTGCATCTTGGTTTCAATTATTGCACCAGATACAAGTTAGTAGTAGCCACAATGGTTATTTGCATATTGTGGTGATACTATAAATTCATAAAGCCCTCTGGTTTTCCATGAGTCTATAGCACCCCCAGCCTGTTCATGTTCACAGTGAGGAAGGAGTGGATAGGTGTAGCAGTAGGGAAGAAGCCAAACGGCTCTTGATTGTGCTTACATCATATGTCACCAAGTGTGGAGAATAACATGTTTTGCAAATTGCATCAACTTGGTTTTC